AATTGTCAGAGGTAGTTGGCGGTGGAGAGGACGAGGAAGAGGCGGGCGGAGGGACGGCGGTTGATGCGGTATGGGAGGTGCAGTTAGTCCAAAGGTGTCCAATGAGTCCAATTCGTGCCCGTAATGTCCGTTGACGACGAGGACACGTTGGAAGCGGTTGTGCGGCGGTGTTGCTTACTGGGCAAAGTTGTGATTTGCGGGCTTCGCTTTTCGCTTTGGCGGCAGCGATGTGGTTGGCTTCGTAGATCGCATCGCCTGTCTTCACTGTCCTCCTCCAGGTCGGTCGATCGAGTGCGAGCTCCTCCCAGTTGGTCGGGTTGATTTGCAGGCGCTTCAGGGAGGACTTCAGGGTATCCTTGTAACGGCGGATCTGGCCTCCGTGACGGCGAGAACCCGTCGCGACGTCTCCGTAGAAGAGTCGTTTGGGTAGTCGCTCGTCGTCCATGCGCACCAGGCGGCCGCTCCATCGCAGCTGCATTTGTCTCAGTATGGCGTAGATGCTGAGGATTCCCGTCCGTTCCAGCACATCAGTGTCGGGGATTCGATCCTGCCAGTTCAGCCTCAGGATGGGACGAAGACAACTGAGGTGGAAGTGGTTCAGACGACGTGCCTGCTTTGTGCACACCGTCCAAGTCTCCGCTCCATACAGTAATATCGGCAGGATGACGGCCATGCACATCTTCAGTTTCGTGCTCAATTGCAGACCATGACGATTCTAAACTGTGCTTTGGAGGCGACCGAAGGCTTGACTGGCCTTCGAGATCCTGGTGGCGACTTCGTCTTCGATCTTGGTGTTGCGGGAGAGAGTACTGCCCAGGTACGGAAAGTTCTCCACCACTTGCAGTTGGGTTCAGTTCACGCTGATTTGCGGCGGCGCGTTGGGGGCTGTGATTGAGTGGGGTGGCGGTTGGTGCATCACCACCGTCTTCTGCGTGTTAATGACCAGACCGAAGTTCTCGCAGGCGGCGGAGAACAGGTCCATGCTCCGTTGCATCTCCTCTTCCGAGGTGGTGTTCAGGGCGCAGTCGTCGGCGAAGAAGAGTTCGTGGACGGTGGTTGTGGATACGCGCGATTGGAAGTGCATCCGTCGTTGATTCAAGAGGCGACCATCCATCCTCTAGGCGATGCCGATCCCGAGGTGCTCATCACGGTAGGCGTCCATCAGCATGGCAGAGAACATGAGACTGAAGACGGTAGGCGCTAGCACGCATCCCTGCGCCCTCCGTTGGTCACTGCGAATGCCTCTGAGACAGCTCCGTTGTCCGTGACTCGCGCCATCATACCGTCGTGCAGCTGACGCACCATCTGAGTGAATCACTCCGGACAGCCGAATTTCTGCATGATCTTCCACAGTCCTTCACGATTCAGCGTGTCGAAGGCTTTCGTTAGGTCCACGAAGGTAGAGTACAGGTGGGTCCGCATCTCCTGGCGCTTCTCCTGAAGTTGGCGGGCTGCGAAGATCATATCCGTGGTCCCACGATGACGACGGAAGCCGCAATGGCTTTCCGGCAGTAGACCCTGTTTGAGATGGTTGTTGAGGCGGTTGAGCAGGATGCGAGCGAATATCTTCCCGACGATGTTCGCAAGAAGATGCCACGGTGATTGTCGCAGACTTTGCAGTTCTCTTTTCGCCTGTAGACATGTACGATGGTTGCGTCTTTGAAATCTTGCGGCACATCACCTTGACGCCACATCTCCTAGAAGAGCGCAGTGAGGTGATCCATCAGTTGGGGACCTCCGTGCTTGTAGACCCCAGCAGGGATTGCATCCGACCCGGGTGCTTTCCCGCTGGAGAGTTGCTCCACCGCCCTGATGGTCTCCTGGAAAGATGGCGGGAGGTCGAGATCCTCGTTGGTTTCCACTTGCGGCAGACGCTCGATGGCGGCGTCGGAGATGACGGAGGGGCGGTTGGGGACGCCTCGGAAATGCTCGACCCTTCTATTTAGAATTTGTGTCTTCTCAGTCAGGACGGTACTGCCGTCGGCGCTGAGGAGAGGAGCGGTGCCCTTCGTCGGCGGACCGTAGACAGCTTTGATTGCGGAGAAGTTATTCCATTCGTTGCGGTCCGCGTAGCCTTGGATCTCCTCAGCTTTGCGAGCAGTCCAGACGTTCTGCATCTCGCGCAGTCGTTGCTGAAGTTGGCGGCGACTGCGGTAAAAGGCAGCTATGTTGTCCTCGGTGGGGTGATCTACGTAGGCTTCGGGTAGGCGGTTCTTCTCAGCAAGCAGATTTCTGATGGCGGCGTCGTTGTCGTCGAACCAGTCCTGGTGTTGGCGGGGAGCGCGACCGAGGACGGCGAGCGCCGTCGACTGGACCGTGTCTCGCAGTTGACACCAGCGGTTCTCCACGGAGGCATTCTCGGCAGTGGCGGCGGCGTCGTCGGCGGCGTCGTCGGCGGCAGCGATAGGAAGGTTGTCTAGCCGTTGAGCTAGCTCATTGCTGAAATGAAGGTGGTGAGCGGGCAAAGACAACAAAGCAACATTCAGCTTACCTGGGGGTCGCTTACCTTGTGGTCTCCTACGAGGCTGTAGGCGAATACGCATCTTCGAGATGACGAGGCGATGGTCGGTCCACCCGTCAGCACCCGCGATCGCCTTCGTCACCAGCACGTCCCGCTGATCTTGCCTCCGGACGAGGACATTGTCCAGCAGGTGCCACTGACGCGACCGAGGATGCCTCCAGGTGGCCTTTTCTCGCTCCGGCAGACAGAAGAACGTGTTCGTCAGGATGAGGCGGTGTTCTGTGCAGGTGCGGAGCAGCAGCAGTCCGTTGCCGTTGGAGCCGCGGAGGCCGTGGGGACCCAGCACTCCTCTCCAGGCAGTATGGTCTGTGCCGACGCGGGCGTTGAAGTCACCAAGGACAATCAACTTGTCCGCCTTCGACACAGTCGCCAAGAGGGCGTGTAGGTCCTCGTAGAATTTGTCTCTTGCGGCGGCGGCGTCGGGGCTGCTCATCGGCGGAGCGTAGGCGCTGATGATGGTGGCGAATTTGCCCCCCCGCAGGAGAGGCAGACGGAGGCTCATCAGGCGATCGTTGATTCCCTGCGGCAAACAGGGCAGTTGTCCCACGATGTCGTTCCGGATGGCGAAGGCGACACCCGCGTCTCGTTGCTCTGCCCTGGGGCAACCGCTCCAGAAGAAGGTGTAGCCGGCACCCACCTCCTCCAGTTGGCCTTGTTCGGAGAATCGGGTCTCGCTGAGTGCGGCGATGTCCACCTTGTAGCGCGCCAGTTCTCGTGCCACTAGCGCCGTTCTCCGTTCCAGTCGGTTGCTGCTCGGATTGTCTAAAAGGGAACGAACATTCCAGGCTGCCAGAGTGTGCGGACTCACCCTGCCAGTCTGGCGACGAGTGCGGCGAGGGGAAGGTGGTGGAGAAGAAGGTGACGAAGGAGAAGAATGGGCAGTGGAAGAGGAAGAATAGGTAGGATGAGGAGGAGAGCGAGTAGTGTTGTTGTTGTTGCTGTCTCGATTTTGGTTGTTTCGACTGTGAGTTTTACGTCTGCGACCACAGTCAGCCTGCAGACGACGTGGTTCCGCAGCAATTGTTAGGCCAGCTTTTCCAGGCCTCCTTCGAAGAGAAGCAGTGGCCCGCCCTGAATAGGGCTGCTTGATGTGCCGGCGCGGCCGAACTCCGCTGTGGGCCGCGAGATTTTCTTGGCAATGGAAGAACGACTCGTATTTGCCAATGGCTTACGACAGCGCCGTAAGTCCGCGATCTCCTACGGTTCACCAGATGGGCGCGTGTCGGCGATTCCGATTCGAAGATCCATCCCACCGGCTGACCAACGGCGTACCAGGCGGAGCCTCGTCTAGACGATGCCGATGCGACGTTCCGCCAACCGGCTGGCCAGCGGCGTACCAGACGGAGCCTCTTCACGACGGTGCCGACGCGGTGTTCCATCCGACCAACCGTCCAGCGGAGTCCGCAGTACCCTGTGCACGTGGCACTACGCGCACCGGGAGTAACCACCCTCACCTGGTTTAGCCCGCCCGTCGAGGCGGTTGCCCGCGGTGTGGCTGCTGAGCAGAGCCCAGCTACGTGGAGCCGCATGTGGGAGTTAGGTGCCAGCAAATGGACGCTAGGCGTAGTCACACGTGCAAGCAAATGAGCGACCACTACGACCATCACATGAACCCACCGCTGACACCCCTACACCCCTTGCCAAATTACGGTGCAACTCGGACCCCGCAGTCAGGCCGGCGTGTGTGTTTGGGTGGAATGATGGACTAGTGGACTAGGAATCAGGCTGCATTTGCTCCTTCCTGGTGTTGCCTGCGTGGCACTCCCACTACGTGGGATCCGAGGTGATTCTGACGGCACGTCTTTGGGGTGGCTCCGGCCGCGCCAACCACATCCATCCCCTCCATTTTCCGGTCCTCGTGACCATGTCCTGACACCGGGCCCAGGGGGGGGGGGGAGGAGGACAGAGAGAGCGGTAGACTCTGCGCAAGTCTACTATCACTACTAAGTTACCGTCCTTATTCTCACCTTGCTCCGTGAGATCCTAGCCACCGCCCTTTTCGTCTTGTTACGCCCAGGTGAGACTTTTTCCCATTTCAGTCACCTTTAGCCTGCCCATGGTCTTCTTAACTCCTGCACGACACCGCGCCCCTTATGGAGAGGTAGAGAGAGAGAGAGTGTGCTAGTGTTTCGAAGGTCCACTATCACTATAGACTTAATTACGCACAAGCCATCGTTACTGCTCTCGCCCTACTGTAGCGCACATGGTGGGCACCATCGAAATCGATTTTCGAACTGACTGCACAAGGCCGTGTGGCCTTATGGCGTGCGTGGTCATTAAGCATATTATTAGGGCGGGCATTCTTTCAAACATCTTTTCCGAGTAGATATCTGGGTGACGGTGCTGTGTCCAATCCGTTGGACACACAGCTGACGTCGCCGCTGTTCCTGACTGATCGTTCATATAAGTGCGATGAGCGAGGTGGCCCCTTTGACATTCTCGTTGATGAGGGATCCTAGCCGCAGTTACTGTGAACCAGTCCGTGTGTGGCACGCATAGACGGGCCGTTTATCTTTGACAGCCAGTGGATCCAGACCCATCTCGGTCATCTTGTTACTGCTTTGCCGTCGGATCAAGATCTGTGCGGGAGGAGAGAATGCACTTTATCGGATCTGGTGCAGTTGCGGACAAGGCAACTACGTCGAAAAATCGAAAGAGAACTCTGAACGCGAATGGTCGAACACGCTGCAGCGGTGCGGAGAAATGACGCCAGCTCTCAAGCTGCGTCTCATTCGACGAGATCCGGCCACACATTCAAATTCGACGAGGCCGAAATTTTCGCAAGTGGTGACAACCGCGTGATCCGGGAGCTACTTGAATCATGGTTTACTAACCCCCAGTCGATTAGCAAGCGCAGTGAACTTCTTCCTCCATACTCGGTGCTGAGACTTCGTCTAGGCGGAGAAAGTAGCCACGCGGGGAGCGTACATGTGAACACTTGAACCAACACTAGGGTCGACGCGTCAGATGGTCGAGCAATCATCACACCAACATCCAACACACGGGATGAGATTGCAGCAAGTAACGACGCAAATCTCGGCCATCAAACAGTCATCACACCAAGTGCAACAATCCCTGATGAAGGGGGGAGCCGTGAATATTCATTGGTATGCAATAGCATGGCGACTGCGTCCTATAAGTACTGTAGCTCCTTGTGCATGAACCGCACGTATCTGCTTTTTGTCTCTGATGATGGATTCGAGCAGAAATCCGAAACGTCAGGCTAATAAAGCTGTTGTCCCAGCGATCGTGTCTCCTTCTTCAAGACACGAAGCGATGCGCCAAGCCGGTGGGGCGGCCGGTGGGCATCGTCACTTACGACGACTGAACGGTCTCAGGTCTACCGTAGGACATGCATCTAGCCAGAGGTGAAAATCTCATTTGGATCGCACTTCGTAGGCTACCTAATGTGCCTATGCACAAAATTTGCGTTTTTCCACTCTAAAAGCAAGCTGAAATGAGTAACTTCCTCGGCAGCTTCCCAATCATTTTTTAAATTAGTAAACAGAACCTAGGCATTCTATCCTGTCGGCATGGACGATTTATTCCTTCGACGTTTTGGATGCTTGTGTATGTGCGTGTGTTTGCGCGCATGAATCTTGTGGCAGAGGAAACAGTTTCTGCTATTGCCGGCGGGCATCCAAAAGACACTTTTGTCAAAATGGGGCTATGAGCGAAGAAATTTCACATACATTCGAGAGCAAACTAACCACGACTGTTGACAGATGGGTTCTACGTCAAAATTCTACAACCGTAGGCTTCCCGCGCTGACCGAACGCCCGAGCGGTACGCAAGATATATGCCTCTTTACTTCGCTCGACTGGTGAGAGCCAAATGAGACATTTCAAAGGCTTGAAACCGACCTAACACTGTGCGCGACACATATTACGACGTCGGTAAGCGGCGGGGGGGAGGTCAGCGGGCGGGTGTTCTCGTCGCGAGCAACCCGATAGACGGCAAAAGCAAGGGAAGCCGATAGTTTTGCATTTTTTAGCGTTAATTTCCCCTGGGCTGGAGTTCTGGTCGGCCTCAGAGATATGTGGGCGAAAAGCGAGG